TGCTACAGAAGAATGTGAGATGCTGGGCATTTTCCAAAGTGTATGCCAATCACTTCGTATTCGTTGTGATGCATGAGTTTCAGTTGAAAGTTGTTCAGTTGGGCAATTTTTGTATCAAACATTAACTCTTGTAAACGTATGTAATAATGATTTTAAAAGGATTTTCTTTTTCTATACCTGTTACTTTGTCCGTGTATACATTTCACACACCGTATTTAAAAATTTATTAATTTTGTCAAGTTCTGTCACATCTTAAAGCTATGGTGGACTTTGTATTTGGTTTAAAAATCTCTATGTTTGAGTATGAGTATTATTCATTTATTAAGTATGAGTGTTATTCTTGAGTATGTGAAGTGAGTGTTATTGTGTCTTTTGAATTTTCAGGAGTTTCACTTGGGAAATTAAAGAGGTGCCATTCTTTAAAGTTGTTACGAAGCAGAGATAAAGAGAAATTATCCAGGAGTAACTCCTTCAAGTCTACTGGCACAAGTCCAGGACCGAATCATGATTTCAAAAATGAAATAGAAAACATCGAGACCATCAAAAGTAATAATTTCTTTTATAAAATGCATTTTCAACAAAATGTGTTTAAAGCAGGTAATTCCAATGCCTTTTTAAACACCCACAGGTCGTTTTATGATACTTACGTAACTTGGTTTTCTTTCATCCTTGAAGCCACTTGCATCTTTTTATACTGAAAGTACAATTTTAGTCCATAGTTATATTTCGATTATGTGTTTGTTTTATTTATCAAACTGATATAGATTCTCACTAAGTAGCTCTTTTTCTGTTAATCAATGGGAAATAATTGCCGTATGTAATAAAACGTAGGAATTAATTGCTGATGTAGTTTACTTTATTGCATTTACTGATAAATTGCGTTCGTATTACTGCCAAGATCCTTAAATTAGTTTTTGGGCTGCTATGTTTTCTTGCATTAAACTTAAAGGAATTTTAAAAACTAACTTATAATCTAAGTTCTCTTGGATTAAATTAAAGGGAATTTTTAAATGTTATTTTTAATATCTTATATGAAGTTTACTAAAACTTTTAACCTATAGTTTGACAGGGTAACATTTTTTCAAACAAAATAAAAAGTCAGACGAAAGTTGTCAGTCAATAGATTATGATTATTTTACTTGATTATTTTAATAAATTATTAATATTTTTATTTCTTCCAATATTTCTCACGTTCGCAGTGCTATTGCACTTTTGTTTTTTATTTATAGTGATATAATAACTGTGTAAGCTTTCGGTATTTTGTGGAAATGAGGCGTAGAATTAAAGGTAACATAAAAAGTGCACAGTAATGATGATATACCGTATATACCCGCGTAGAAGTCGAGATTTTTGGACAAAAAAAAGACTTCAAAGGGGGGTCGATTACGCGGGGCCATTAAAAAATTAAAAAATGAGTCAAAATTTCTTATCTTCCAGTTGTTTTTTCCGCACTCAATGGACCGATTATTAATAAGTCCTTCTTGAAGTAGTATTTCATGACTAAATTAGGCGAACTATCACAGGTTTCATTTTAACTAGAGTAAGTTCGATACCAAAGAATTTTGGCCCCGAACAACCGATCAATATCGAGAATAAAAAGTTTCGCCAACACGCCAAGAAAAAGAAATTCAGATAGTTTTACGTATGTAAGCTTTATAATAGTTATGTTCATTCATGAAATAATTCTGTTAACAGGCGTACGTCAAATTTAAAAAAAGCCCACGCAATATTGACCGTTTTGAATCTATATGTATGATGACGAGCCCCGCGCAGAAGAGTTTATGACTGTTGGCGAATCGACTTGATAGGAGTTGAAGGATTTTGATTTTGGATTTATTTACCAAGGTATTTTTTCTCGTATGTTTGCTTTTTTCCTCAGATGATTTGAATAAGTGTAGTACTTAAAATTTTTTTTCGAGTTTCGATCAATTTCGGAAGTGGGGGGTCGACTTATACGCGGGTTTCTTATTTTCTACGAATTTTTTATGTCGAAGTGGGGGGGGGGGGTGTCGACTTATACGCGGTATCGACTTATACGCGAGTATATAGGGTACATTTTTATTTATCATTCATTCACATAAAACTGAACTTGGACTGTAAGTTACGTTATCTACAATTATAATGTACTCATGTTTTCTATCATTATTTATATAAAACTGCTTTTAAGTTCATTTGTTATGCTAAGCAACTGCTACTATCTTGAAGTTTTTGTTTTATGCTATAATAACTCTCTGGAGTCTTCTGGCTTCTTTTTTAATCGCAGTCGTAGGAATTCTTTCAGAAGTCAGGTATTTAAGTATTCTTTTGCAGTAAGATATGATAATGCAATTGTATATCTACTTTAGGTTGTATACCATATTTTATGTATTTTTCAATATTTTCAATTGGCGTATCTAACGTCTAGTCTTCACAGCGTTAAACATAGCAGTAAACAGCATCCTACAAGTAGCCATAAAATGCGATATTTGGAGGCCGAAATATAGTGCAAAAGGTCATTTATTTAATGCAATAAAGTGTAAAACGAGAAACTTGTCAAGAATCTAGTTAATCAAGAATCTAGTATTCCTAACTGCGTATATAAATATAATTAAATTCACGTATTTTTAAATTCCTACTATTAGCTCACACTCTCTCTATATCTTTGTTCAAATTTTCAGTCTTTAATAAAGTACTTTTTATTTATACTTTTATTATTACTTTTTATTTATTCACTTAAGTTCATATACATTTTTTAAACTTGTAGTGGATGACACCTGAAGTTGATACAGTTTCTTCACATATTAAAGACAATTCCTACTTATTTTATTCCTGTTTATCGGAACTAAAGATAGGCTGTTTTTATTAAATATATTATAAGACTTACATGACCGTTTATTAGGAATTCTCAAGCACAGTAAAAATTAATTTTATAACAATTTATAAATAATAGTACTTGACTGTGATAAGTGGCAACAGTAAGACAGAGTTCTAAAGCTTTTTAAAGTGTATAGAATTAAAGAATTGTAGTTTTATAGAGCTGGATGAGGCGGATGTGATGTTCCATTATGGAGCAAAAATTCTCCACATATTTCTATACTAACGTTATAATAATATATGTTTAAAATATAACCCTTAAAATGTCCCTTGCTTATTAAAATAAGTAAATAGCACTGTAGATCATGCAGTAATATATCTAAGACGAAACCTCTGCACAGCAGGTCAAGCATACGTCGCCTTGAATCGTGTGAAATCATTAGATGGAATATTAATTGAAGAACTGTGTAGAGTTCCTCACTTCGGAATTCTAAGTTAATGTTGGAAGTGAAGAATCTAAGAACTGATAAGCGAATAATCGCTTGAGTTCGGTGACAAGAAACAACAAGATAGAAGGGTAACTAACCTTTAGTATTCCAATAAGATTAACAAAACCCGCCTGGGAGTGTACAGCAAAGCCCGACTTGGACTTGAACTTAAACGACTAAGAATTAAACTAAACAAGATTAACTAAAGAAGTATAGCCGAAGCTATCAAGGTTCAAACTGAGTTGGCCCTTAACTTATTTGACTACGAAGCTTAGCAAGGGCCGAGTACGGCCGAGCGTAATAACACTGAGAAGAGTGGCCACAAAGGCAGAGGCGCGTAATCAGAAACTCTGATTCTCTCTGACTCAGTAAGTAACTTCGTGGTTTAAATACCGCTTCTCCTCATTAAATATTCAGCCAGTTTCCAAAACTACGTTCTGGCCGGAAGTAGTAAGTTGAAGTTAAGAATTTGACAGGAAAGGAACTTTAACTTAAAATTTAAGTGTTAATAAAATTAACGTAATCCTTACAATTGGACTGCTCGAAACTCACTGGAAAGGTTCCTTGCAATAATGAAGCATTACAAGACATGGATAGAATGAGAGATTATCGACGACCATCAGCTTCATATATTGGAAAAGATAATATACTAATAATATCAATAAAAAGTAACTAAAATAAAATTCTTCTTTGCTGACCTAAGTAGGAATCGGCTTTAAAAAATTATTTTTATATTACTTGTTATATAATGAGATTGTAAAATTCTATATTCCTTATAGTCATTGCTAAAAGAAAAAGGCACAACAGTAAACAACATTTTTCATTAAAAAAATGTTGTCTCGTATTTTTTTCCTTACACAGTTTTCATTTCAGAGGAAAAGTCGTCATCGATGTTCAGTAAGTGGTTTCGTCGAGGACGCTGGGACAAAAGTCGTCCAAAGTCCAAAGGTACTTCCTCATCTACACAGTTTCCGCCTAGAGATTGGTCAGATCCAGATTATGTCCTGTTTAACTCCAGAGCTACTCAAACCTTGGAACGAACGGATGGAGAACACAGGATTAAAGTACGTAGATTTAACCTTGAAAAAGTTTTAATCCTTTAATTTTCAAACAGCAACAATGATTTGCTGTTTAAAAATTTGACAGTTTTAATTCCCAGCTTATATTTTTTCCAAATGATTTCCTTAGCTCTAAATATTTTTTACGTTATGTCTTTTACGCAAAGAAATATATGCAGCTCACTTGACTGCAGTTACTAATTAAAGCTGGCTTTAAACGAGTTTAACTGCAGGAACAGAAAACAATCTGAAGATACTTTTCTTTAAAACGCTGTTGTGTTGTGTTGGGAATTGGGTGTTGTATGGGACTCCTTGCCACGTTTCGTGGCAAGGAGTAAAAGATTGCTCCTATCGCTGGCAAAAGCCTTGAACACCGTGCATGTGACAGGACGATTTCGCTCAGTTCCGCCCCCGATTTTGATGGAGATTCTCTTTACCCAACCTTTATTATCACAATCATTGGTCATAATTACCTCCATATTATGGAAGTATTTTAAATGACGGAAATGTTCACGTTTTGACAATGTCAAATTTAAGAAAAAATAGTTTTTTATAAATAATGAAATCTAATTTTTTATGCGATTCTTATACTTATATTTGGGAACGTTTTATACTCATTATAAAAAGTAATTTGTAAGAAGTTTGACTTCATCGTACAACAAAAATTGATATTTAATTTCAAAATCTACAGTTTTTGGTATCATTTTCAACTTGCCTTGAGGGATCGTTTGAGTTAGTCAGAATAATTCGAGAATGAAATGCAACAAAATATATATATATAAGTACAACGCACAAGTGTAAGAAAGGTATGTGCTGTCTTACACACAAGTACAAGGAAGGTTCCATATACAAGGTACAACACACAAGTACAAGGAAGTCATGTATCTGATGTGGTAGTGGCTGATGTAGTAATCTGATGTGCTAGTGTCTGATGTAGTAATCTGCTGTGGTAGTGTCTGATGTAGTAATCTGATGTGGTAGTGTCTGTTGTAGTAATCTGATATGGTAGTGTCTGATGTAGTAATCTGATGTGGTATTATCTGATGTAGTAATCTAATGTGGTAGTGTCTGATGTAGCAATTTGATGTGGTAGTGTCTGATGTAATAATATCTGATGTGGTAGTGTCTGATCTAGTAATCTGATGTGGTAGTGTCTGATGTAGTAATCTGAGTGTGGTTAATCTGATGGTAGTATAGTATCTGATGTGGTAGTATCTGATGTAGTAATCTAATGTGGTAGTGTCTGATGTAGCAATTTGATGTGGTAGTGTCTGATGTAATAATATCTGATGTGGTAGTGTCTGATCTAGTAATCTGATGTGGTAGTGTCTGATGTAGTAATCTGATGTGGTGTAGTGTCTGATGTAGTAATCTGATGTGGTAGTGTCTGATGTAGTCCACATCAGATTATATTGTTCATATTAATATATGCTATTAATAAAAATAGCCTCTAATATACCATCGGGAAAAAGTAATTCGAATTATTATCTGCTTTTTAGAACTGAAAAATAATATTAAAAAAAAATCTGAAAGGTTTCAGATTTTACATAACGTCCAAAGGGCGTGTTTTTACCATTTTGTGTGTTACATTTATTTATTAAACATCGCGTTCTTTGCACTTAAACCATAAAATTGAGTTCAATAGTTATATCGCAAAATAAATTTAAATCGAGCCTATCATTAGAATTTCCGATACGCAGTCACATGCGATGGAGATAAAAATGTTTTCTCTGTACAACGTTGCTATGGCTCGCTTTGAAATCCTTGAGTTTGTTAACCAAAAATTCGTTAAAGTTTTACAAAATATGAAATCGGTAATAAAACAAATTCCATATTTCAAATTTGGGCTTCCAGATGCCCATATTCACAGTAGGATTACTTCATTCAAGATTGGATGGCTCTAGGTACCGTTGTTTTACCACAATGCGAGAAACATACATAGATTTATGCATATTCTTCATTATTTAATTTCTTTAAATATTACAGAGGGCTCTAACATTTGGTGGCAATAATCTAAAAAGTGATTCGACGCAAAATTCCAAAACGAAAACAATCAGAGACAAAGCCCCTTTGGACTAACAATAAAGTTGGATGTATATATTTTGAGAATTAATTATTGCCTTTTGTTTAAAGTCTTATAAATGGAGAACAAATATTCTAGTATACCTTTTATTAAACAGCTGAAAGGAAAAAAATATATAAAAATATTATCCAAAAAGTCTTGACGTTTTTGAAGATACAGGTAATTTTTAAACCATGTAGCACATACTTCGGATATCTTTTTTTTTCCACGATTGCATAATAATATAAAAGAGTTCCTTCATGAAAAACCTTAGGCTGCCTTAAAAAGTACTTCATTAAAAAAATCTTTCATTTAAATTTATTTTCATGCAAGTAGCGTTCTTCTGGCGGAGAATCATGAAGCAAAATCATTTGCTATATGGTTACAATATGAATGATTCCACAGACAATTTCTTAATCATCAAAAGTCAGATTGTTTATTCATGACAGGATGGCAGATTTTTATTAGTATTATTAACAATTTCTTTCTTTAGCAACAGTTTTGCTTTATTTCGTAAGATCCTATTCGTAGTACATCTTCCCATGCAGAATATGTTTGATCTGAATAAAGGAAACTAGATTAGGGGCATTTTTTCTTGCTGGACTCCACCTCTTTAAGGAAAACATGATAATCTTCTCTTATCTACCTTTCTCCAGATAATAATTTCTAAAGATGGAAGAAGGAATAAAGTAGATTTCGATGCCTGGATTTTTGCCTTCGCATAAGGAATGGTCACTTTTTGATTGACATGCTCCGGGAACACAATTGAAATGTTGTAACAATTCATCTAGGTTTTGCTTTTAGAATTATGTTAGGCATTTCTGGGATGGTTTCGATGATGATCTATTTCCGCGTACGGTTTTGATTGTGATGATACACAGAAACTTCAGAAGAGTAACAAGCTTCGACATGGTGATCTCTACATTCGGAAAGATTTTTTTTAAATGAATAAAATAAAGTGCAAATTATAACTAACAAGAAATAAAATTTTTCTTTTTGTTCAAATTTTAAATCTGTTTTCCCCGAAGTAATCTTAAACTTGTAAATCAGATTAGTTGCTTAATTTATCAAAGAATTCAAAGGCAATTTACCTATGAAAAATGCATTTTTGTGTATGAATTTAAGAATTGCATTGAATGAATTGAAATTGGAAAAATGCATTAAAATTTTTGAATTTATGTTGCAACTTCTAGTAATAAACTTATAGGCTTCATTTTAATTTTCTAACCGAATATTTTATTTTAAACTGCCTTTAAATTATTTACATAAATTTTTTACTGGAAATAATTTTTTTTTTGTTACAACGTGTTGCCATTGCTCGTTTTGAAATCCTTGAGTTTGTTAATCAACAATTCGTTAAGATTTTACAAAATATGAAATCAATAATAAAATAAATTCCAAATTTCAAATTTGGGCTTCCAGATGCCCATATTCGCTGTAGGATTACGTCATTCAAAATTCGATGGCTTTATGTACCGTTGTTTTATCACAATACGAGAAATATACATACATTTATGCAGATTCTTAATTATTTAATTTATTTAAATATAATACAGGGCAATAATATTGGGTGGCAACAATTTGAAAAGTGTACCGACATTTATACTGAACCAACGCAAAATGCCAAAACGAAATTAATCGCCCCTCTGGGCTAACGCGCTTTGGGTTAGTAATAAAATTAATTAATTGTGTGATTGACATTATATAATCTTATTTATTGCAACAACTTAAACTGTTATGACCCTTTGAATTGTACAAGAGTCCAATGCTTTTACAAGGCTTTCTGTCCATTTTCTCGGATTCTTGTTTCGACCTTCGGCAGAGCATATCTGTCCTTGTCGACTACAGCAATGACGGTCCGAATGTATAAGAATATAACCAAATATTTGGTTTAAACATACGAATTATTTGGTATGTGTTGACATTCACAGGAGAATGTCGACATTCTCCAATTTCGGTCTTTCACGGTGACATTTATTACATACATACATATTTGACTTTTCTATTACCGTATTTGCCGGTGTATAAGACGCACTGGCCTGTAAGCCGCATTCCCTTTTTACTTCCTTGTACGTAGTAAAAAGGAAGTATTGTAATCGCGAAAAGTTTCACGCAGCATATTTCAACGAAATATCCACTTTGACCGCTTTCGAATGCAATTTAACGATCTTTTTGCGTGATATCTGTACGTAAGGACAGAATAAAAGACTCTTTTCCTTCAAAAAAATATAAAAACTGAAATGAATTCTTAAGAGAATTTTTTGTGGCGTCTGTAAGAATGTATGTACGTGGGTATCTCGCATAACTCAAAAACGAGTAATCTCAAAACGTTGAAATTTTGTATATAGGACTGCTATAACACGTAGCTGTGCACCTCGTATTTTGGTTGCAATCGGCCGCACCAAACGTATATAAATATATTTATATATATATATCCACTCTCTTACCCGGCTCAGTGATCTCAGTTTCTTTACTCTTATTTGTTTGTAAATTGTGCATTTTTTGCTTTAAAAATGATTGAATTATGTTGTTCTTATATTCCGGTTAAAGTTTTTATGCCTTTAGTAAATCTGTATGCAATACATTTTGGATTATCAACAATTTTAAAGTTGTTTAAGTGCCGCTAAGCCTAATAATCTTTTTGATGGCGGCCATTGCTTATTTACAATTTGAAACAGCAGAGTAGTGGATTTGTTGCCAATCTAGAGAAACGTAGCTTCGCAACGACAAAGATAACGCCTTCATTTATTATTGCGAATTAAATCAGGCTTAATCCTTTCTGGAATTTTTTTGAGGAAATAAGTGTTTAAGATTTACTTCGTCATTTTTAATATAGATATTTTGAGTTTTTATGCATTTTTGCCTTGTCGCGAAGTGAGAACTGAATTAATTGAATGAGAAATACTCAATCGTCTGTGAAAAACTGTTTCTTTTTTGTTTTGTTTTCTTAATTTCTTTTATATATCGTTCTAGCTTTATTATAGCATTTGAATAGGTATTGTAGTATTTGAATAGGTATTATATAATATTATAGTACTTGAATGTGGCAACGATTAGATTATTCTTTAAATGATACCAATTTTGTGCATTCTGAGTTATAATGTGAACGAACTATAATGCTGTTAAGTGAACCTAGCGCCAGAGTGTCGCTATGGTAAACAAATAGAGTGAATTTTAAAGAATGTATTTATTTTGTTGTGGTTTATGCGCTATCGGCGAAGTAGATTTAATTCAATAAATGAAATGCAAGAAAAAATGCATATAATTTAATATTCCGTACAAGGAAGTCATGTGGTGTACACATCAGATTTTTTATACATATTTTTGATGGATGAAACTTTATTATTGATCATTATAATGAATGTATATTATTTTAAATATAATTACAAATACAAAGCTATGCAAATACCCAACCTATCTGGGAAAGAACAACTTTTTAATTCTCTTCGTCAAAACCCAAACACTCATCACCAGAGCTAAATGAAGAGTCACTTCAAACTTCTTCTAAATCAGCATCTGAGTCCTCATACAACAAATTGTCCATGCAGTGCATTAATAATGCCACGCTTCTTAAATGATTTAATCACTCTCTCTGTTTTCTCAACATCCCATGAAACTTTGGCCCATTCACAACAACACTCTTCCTTCTTTCTGATGGTGTAACCTCAAAATTTGAAGACTGCATCCAGCTTGCGTGCTATGTTATAGCAGTGCCGACGTTGTTTTTGAGCCATAACTTGGCAACAAATTTAAGGTAATTGAACCGAAATTTCACATACATAAAAGTCGTTCGCAAAAACTGAAAATTTTAAACGAACCCAGTTGTGATCGTCGATGACAGCACGTGCGTGCGCATTTACTAAACTCTACGTAATTGTAATATTTCCACACTCCGCAAGGGAAGAAGAAAAAAATCGTATAACTCTGAATAGAGGAAATTTCCAGAAATGAATGTAATCAAAAACTGAGTATCGACTTATAAGACGCACCCCATTTTTCAAACCTATTTAAAAAAAAGAGAGAAGTGTGTTTTATACGACGGCAAATACGGTATATATTTGTTCCAAAACACAAGATGTTTGTTGTGGTAGAAATTTCGTAGCCATTACTTTCAGAAACGATTCGAAGCATTGTTCCTTTAACGATTTTGCAGCAAAATACTGTATTCCTTCAAAAGTTTCACCTTCGTATCTTCTGTTATAGGAAAAAACCCACAAGCACAAATTTTAAACTCGAGTTTGAGATAAAACATAATCATAATTTTTCTAAAAACGCCATTCAAGTTATTAATGTGAAAAGGCTTTGACGTGATTATGGCCGCACGACGAGAATTAACAGACTTTGAAAGCGGAATGGTAGTTGGAGCTAGACGCATGGGTCATTCCATTTCGGATATCGTTAGGGAATTCAACATTCCGAGATCCACAGTGTCAAGAGTGTGCCGAAAGTATCTAATTTCAGGCATAACATCCCACCATGGACAGCGCAGTGGCCGACCACCTGCACTTAACGACCGAGACCAGCGACGTCTGCGTAGAGTTGTCAATGTTCACAGAGAAGCAACACTGCGTCAAATAACCGCAGAAATCAACGTCGGACGTACGAGGGACGTGTCCGATAGGACAGTGCGGCGAAATTTGTCTTCTTTGGGCTATGCCAGCAGAAGACCGACTCGAGTGCCTTTACTGACAGCACGACATCGCCTGCTGCGACTCTCGTGGGCTCGTGAGCATATCGGTTGGTCCCTAAACGAATGGAAAACCGTGGCGTGGTCAGATGAGTCACGATTTCAGTTAGTAAGAGCTGATGGTAGGGTTCGAGTGTGGCGCAGACCCCACGAAGCCATGGACCCAAGTTGTCAACAAGGCACTGTTCAAGCTGGTAGTGGTTCCATAACGTTCTGGGCTGTTTTTACATGGCATGGACTCGGTCCTCTGGGCAACTGAACCAACCAATCATTGACTGGAAATGGATACCTTCAGCTACTTGGAGATCACTTACAGCCATTCATGGACTTCACGTACTCAAACAACGATGGGATTTTTATGGATGACAATGCGCCATGTCACCGGGCCACAATTGTTCACGATTGGTTAGAAGAACATTCTGGACAATTCCAGCGAATGATCTGGCCACGTAGATCGCCCGACATGAATCCCATCGAACATTTATGGAACATCATCGAGAGGTCAGTTCGTGACCAAAACCCTGCACCGTCAATACTTTCACAATTATGGACGTCTGTAGAGGCAGCATGGCTCAATATTCCTGCAGGGGACTTCCAACCACTTGTTGAGTCCATGCCACGTCGAGTTGCTGCACTTCGCCGGGCAAAAGGAAGACCGACAAAATATTAAGAGGTATGCTATGACTTTTGTCACTTCAGTGTATAATACGTTGGAAATTGAATATTTCTAACGCTAATGGTTGCCTGAATAATTGTTATGTGGATGGTTACCAGAGTGGGCGTATTGTGAAATTCTGGCGATTTCTACTAAGGTGGTTGCTATAATATGTAAGTACCTATTTTACTTGCCCCTTAAGTTTATAGTTTAACAAAGGATAAAAGTTTAATTAAACATAAGAATATCTGATGGGAATGACTTCGTTAGAAATTTTGATAGAATGGCTTTATTCTCTGCCTAGTATTTACTTTATTCATTCAACTTCTTTTAATTCGTCAGTCACTTTACCTAATATTCTGTCTGAAGTCCTAAACGTAAACTGCATTTAAAGTTATATTTTAATAGCTTCCATTCATTTCTTTTGTAATGATTTCATGCAAATGCAATTTAATGGCTGAAAAAAAAATTTAAGTGGTTCATATCATGAATAACTTTTAGTTGTATGAAATCATATGACATAAAATTAATTCAGAAAAAAATGTATCATATATGTTCTGCATTATGGTTTTATATACCTTTTCTATTTATTTTATCCCGTAACTAATTGCATTAAAGGCACTCTTACATATTTAGGGCAGCAAATAGGTAATAACTCAAGGTGAGAAGTATTTAACAATTTAGGGCATTCTGTGAACCTAATTTAAAATGTCTACACGATTTCGAAAATTAGATTTTTAACTTATTTCTTACTGACACACAAAAGAACTTTAATTTCAATATTTTCCATTCATTTGAATGCGAAAATCATAGGGAAACTCGAGTGTGGGTGCTCGATTTGAAATTGGAAACGTGAGTTTTACAGTACGTGCCGAAGACGAATTTCTTTTGTCTGATGAAAACTGAAGTGTATATTCGACATTTCAGTTCTTGAAAATTGTATTGACCGATGGTCATTCGTGATGATGGCGCTGCTGGGCGTACACAAATGAATTGTGGGAAAAACAGAAAGTGGTGGAGAGTAGGATGAGGTCATTGAAGAAAATATCACGATTTGTAGCTATTTGTATTTTTGCTGTTAGTACAGACCGTACCACTCTTCCTTGCTTGGTGACCCACTGAGTTAGAAACAAAGTTCACATCATTTTCTGAAGTGTGAATTCCAATTAAATATAGGTTGCCGTAAGTTTTAACAATTGGCATCATGGTTCTGAAAAAAAAAAAAAAAAAATAGTTTTCTACTAGCAATTAAAACAAACAAAAATAGTATGATAAATGGTTCACAAACCACGAACGTTTATAAGCGCATACCAACAATATCATGAGCATTTCATATTCAAGTTTAATTTGAAACGTTTTAAACTTGTCTTAATCTAATTTAAAAAGAGATTATACGAACTCTCATCACGTACACAATATGATGTTTAAACGCATAAGAAACTAAATTCGAGAGCTCTTCCATCGAAAAATTAACGTTTCTAATTTACTTCTTAGAGTTAATAAATATTTATTTCACTCTCTTTTAAACAAATTGTTGTTAAAGAACAAAATTAATATTTCTTTAACATTGAAATACTTGTTGCTGTTTGCCTTAATTATGTATTGACTCTTTAAAGTTGAAATGAATATGTATCATAATAATAAAGTTTAATCTAGTAAAGTATCTTTAATAATAAAGTTAAAATGACAAAAAGAAATGGTTTCACAATAGTGAGATCAAAGCAGACTGGTGGACTGTGTGCGTAAAAAAAAACTTGACAACACTTTTAGACTAGCATTAAATTCTGAACCGTTGCAGATTTTTTATTTTTAGACCAAAGGGACAATATGCCCAAAAGGACTATTCATTTCCATTTGACATTTTGCGTTGAAATGTCAATTCACTTTTCAAATTGTTGCCACTAAATTTTATCGCCCTCTATTATAGTTAAAGAAATTAAACAATGAAGAATTTGCATAAATGTATGCATGTTTCTCGCGTTGTGATAAAACAACGGTAACTAGAGCCATCAAATTTTGAATGACGTACGTTTCCACCCGAATATGGGCATCTGGAAGCCGAAATTTGGAATTTGTTTTATCATCTATTTCATATTTTGCAAAACTTGAACGAACTTTTGATTAAAAAACTCAACGATTTAAAAGCGAACACTGGCAACACTGCACGGGGGAGGGGGGGAATATCTCCAGCGCGCGAGACTGTGTATAGGAAATTCGAAAGATATGCTGATTTTAAAATTATTTTGCGATATTGCTGTTGAATGAATTTTATGGTTTAAGTATGGAGAACATGATATTTAAAAAATAATGATAACACACAAAACTTTAAAAAAATGTCCATTTGTGCGTAGTGTAAAATCTGAAAGCTTTCAGATTTTTATTAGTCCATCGGCCCAAAATCGCAAAACAAAAACAAAAGGACTGTTGTTTTCGTTTTGCGATTTTGCGTCGAATCACTCTGAATGTCAGTTTCACTTTTCAAACTGTTGCCAGCAAATATTATCGCCCTGTATTATATTTGAAGAAATTAAATAATGTAGAATATGCATAAATGTATGTATGTTTCTCGCACTGCGATAAAACAACGGTACTTAGAGCTATCCAATTTTGAATGACGTAATCTTACTACGTATATGGTCATTTGGAAGCCCAAATTTTAAATTTGGAATTTGTTTTATTATCGATTTCACATTGTGTAAAACTTTAACGAATTTTTGATTAACAAACTCAAGGATTTCAAAGCGTACAAAAAAAAAAAAAACAGCGCGTGAGACTGTGTATCGGAAGTTCTAAAGTATGCTATATTTAAAATTATTTTGCGATATTGTTTTTGAACTGAATTTTATGTTTTAAGTGCGAAGAGCATGATATTTGATAAATAAGGGTAACACACAAAACGTTAAAAAACAGCCCCTTGAGCGTGATGGAAAATCTGAGATCTTTCAGAGTTTTTTTTTTTTTAATATTATTTGCTTTGATTAACGATTTATTTACTTATTTATTATGAACTTATCCTAAAAAATCCAAACTGATAAATTTTTTATCTAGTAGCACTCATGCAGTCAGGTTAAAGAAGGATAAATATTACACATGATAGGCGAACAAAAGTTAGCGTCGGATTTAAAATACTAACTATACTAAAGCTAATTAATGTGGCCGAATAGTAGCTAAAATATTTTACTTATTAGCGCATTTTTAACATGCTTGTATTAGTTTAGTGCTTGACTATCAAAAAATAATATTTTCTTTTTGTTATTTTTATTACAGAAATCTTTTTTTTTTCTTTTTGAAAATGATTTCTTTAGAATAATTAGAATAACAATAAAGGCTTGTAGTTTTGAAAACATTTTTCTTCTTTGGCAAAATTTCCGCTTCATTCTCACTAGAATCTATTCGCGAAAAATGATGCCCTTTCGTTGCGAAAACATATCAGGACTACATAGATTTTTCTTATGTGTGCAAACATTTCTGGCTGTAAATTACGTATCAAATAGACAAAATATTTTCAAAAAACATTGAGGGAAAAACATACCATTTATCTCTAATGTCATATGTAAAAAAGGAATTTCTCGTTAAAAATTATGCGTCTTAAATATTTCCTATATCCGATAAGTAGCTTACGTTAAACATTTAACACTTTTGAAATATTATAAAAAGAGGTATGGGAAATTTCCAGGTAGAAAAATGTTGAAAGTACGAGTAAGATAAAATTTCAATACCTCTCCATCGAATAAATGCTGGTTTGGTGACCATATGATATTTCCCATAGATATCTCACATTTCCATCCAATCTGGTTTCGTTTAGATAATGACGTCATAAGCGGACGCCTGAGAAGTATTTTTTAAATTAACTCTATTAGATATTGATTTTAAATAATGCATTTTCAAGATGCATATCATAACGTTCTGTTTCTTAGGGAGTAAATTACTTTTTCTAAATAATTATTTGTTTCTAATATTAATAAATAATGTTTTGCGTGTAATCGTGTTATGCATATAACGGAAATGAATGTAATCGTTTCAGTCTTGAAATTAAAACAGAGACGAAAAGAAAATTTTAAGAATTATCAAAAAAGAATAAAATTTGATTGCTGTTTTATTCATTTCTTCTTTAAGATTATTCAAAGAAATAAAACGAACTACTCTCATTTATTTATGCCGTAAAAGAGTATTTTTTATTCATTTTCTAAAATGGATTTTAGTTTATTTCAAAATTAAAAAATCTGGTGTGGACCCCACTTGATTTCTTTGTACGGCCTAGCAATTAAACACATTTAAAGCGTAGAATTAGCACAGTCGAAATTATCCCATCAGAAAATTAAGAAATTTTGTTTTCGATCTACAGAGAATATCACTCAAATAATGCTAAATATAAAGCAATGTAATAAATAAATGGTTAGTTACCCTCAAAAATTGAATGAATCCACAAATCGCATTTATATCAGATTTAGATTTAGATTACAGAAAAAATAACAAGGCGACATAAAATTCTAAAAATTAAAATATTTGTTTATCTTATAACCAGCATGACACAAAATATGCTTAACGGGAAAATTATATCAGAGACTTTCAGGCAAAGATATACTGTTCCGAGCGTCGTACGGGTTCATAATGGATTAAATGCACACAGAACCGATGACAGCGCGATAAAATTTATTTTACCAAAAGGGTCACTTTACGGTTCTAGAACTTTCCGCAAAAATACAAGCACAGCTCTTCTCAGTATGACAGAGCACGATATCTTAATATTCCGAAGTCAATCATGAACTATAACCTTAGAGCTGATGCTCTGTCCGATTTTTATATAGTTTTCCCCCGGCCGCCAAGAAATCTCTAGTACCTTCCATTTCTCAAAATTACTGAAAGGCATATGCAGTTACATTTAAGTTGCATACAAAGGCCTTAAATGGTTACCATTACATATGGGAATAAATTGCAGTATCAGTTATGGTTATAGAAGGACCGAAACAAAATGTCACCAACTGGTCGCCAAGTTTGGCGACTTTTGACGATTTTCGCCAAATTTGAAAATAAAACTAGTTGCCAGCTTGGTGATAATTCGCCCATTTAGGGAGTTAGCCATTTATTTTAATGTTAAATATACTTGTCCCCTGTAATCTTATTTTTCCGGCAGAACTTTGTCTCTTTGAAGCATTTCATATTACATTATGCAAAAAATACTATTATACATGTGTCGTAAATTCGACGAATGTGATATTTAATAAATAAAGTTGACACATAAAAAGTTAAGACTAAAAATGTTTTTTTTTTAGTCATCTTATTAAGGAAACTGAATAGTGATATGATGAACTGAGAACACACTAAAAAAAAATAGGAAGATCCATGTCAACACTTAACATTGCATCGGGAATGCTTTTTAAAAATTTTGTGAGTTCTTGTTAAACTATATGTGTCGTAAGTGCGAAGAAAGAAGAAAACGATGATTAATAATAAAGCTAAAAAGACGTTTTTTTATTATTTTTATTACAGTTTAATTAATAATTGAAAAATCAGAAGTTGTAATAATTTTTATAACTAGCCCCCTAAAGATTTTTTTTATAATATGGATAAAGATTTTAATGAATCCAGGTATTTTCAAAGGTCCAGCTAGTAATTAACAATAATGAAAATGAAGAACTGCGTTTATTTCTTCTAAACTATTAATCTGTTAATTAATAACAGACAAAATAAATCTGAAAAGAAAAATTAAATATCTGGCGAATGGCATATCATTGGTACGAGGAAGAAAATATTTTATTTCAGAAAATGGCAACACATTCCCTATGAAACGCTGAGTTTCCTGATTAGATTTAAAACATAAATATCTTCTTTTGCACAATAACGAAGCATTGCTTTTAAATCACTGAGTTTGTTCATCAAAAATTCATTAGTCTCACAAACTATGAAATAAATAAATAAATTTAAAATGCGAAATTCAGGCTTCGGAGTGCACATGTTCGTGTGAAGGATTATGTGTGCTCAAAATTTGGTGGTTATAGGTGCCGCCATTTTTACACAGTGTGAGAAATATCCATAAATACATATACATTCTTCATTATTTAATCGTTTTGTTATGGGTTATATCTATGTCCTGTTTCTAACCTCTATGAAAAACCGCTTCACTCACAGCTTGAAGAATGAAAGCAAAAAGCTGGTTCTACGAAGATGCAGATAATTTCCGTAACCTCAAAAATCTATTCACTAAAATATTACACGCATGTTTAGAACTTGGAAGAAAAAGCGTTAAGAATAATCTTTACGTTTCACTTCTATGATGATTGGCGGAAAACTCCACGATACTTCAACAACTTTCAAAGAACTCTTGGCGTTGTACAACACCACGTTGTACCTCAAAACAAGCGCTGTATTCAAGAAATAATTCGAATGCTTTCTTGTATATAATTCGTGGGAATCTTTCGGACAAAGGCGGTTTCACCCTATGGGTCAATCTGAAAACGATGACCGATGTTCTCGTGACCCTCTTCAACCACAAGAAAAGGAACAAAACGAGTTTCAATGCGGGTTTGTATTCGAAACATTCCGGGAAAAACATGCAGAGGCATTGACACTGTTTCGCAAGTTCACTTGATTGGAAAAGTGTTGTGAAGTTTCAGATGATTTCAAAGCTAAGACTGCAAGATTTCTGAAGTATGAAGGTGTAGAAATTCAAAAGCATTTGACCGCAATGAAACATATAATATCTTCAACACGGAACTTTCCATTAAAAACACATTAATCTCATCTTTAGTATCATCTCAATAATTTATGCACTTTTTCTCACTATCTGACTAGCTTGCAAAAGGCAATCATATTTACAACAAACTTTTAGGACAAATTAGAAATTTGCATAGATTAGAATTCCGCTTTTGTTCAGGAATTTTTTTTTATTTTACTGCTGTTAGGCTGAATTTGGAATTTTTCCAATAGATTAATGTAAATTCGGGAAGTATGCTTTTCGCACATAAAGACTTAAATTAGAATAAGAGTGAAAATGTTAGATTTCTAGATTTTTTTTAAGGACATTTGCATATTTTATTTCAAATATTCAGTTTATAAGGTTTATCATTTTAAAGCTAAAATATGGGGTTGGCGAGAAAGTAATTTCAGGTTTTTAGTGTGAAATAAACCTCAGCTTTTCTATACAAAAAATGAACTTTTAAACAGTCAAATAGGTTCCATTCTGTTTGACAACCCTTTTGCCATCTTTCCTGAAACTTCATAATACTGCGCTCATACAACTTCTGGTCTTGATAAGTAGAAATACTCAACCTAAGTACGATTTGAGGTTATCGTTATTACTGAAATTTTCGAATGGTTATGAAGTCATAATCTGAATGTGCAAGGTCGGGACTATATGGAGGATGCCACGTCACTTTCCAGATAAGTACCAATAATTTCGCATGGGTTGCTAAAGTAGTGTGAGGCCTCGCACTACCGTGGTGGAGCATGATTCCTTTGCAATTTGCCAGTTTTGCCCTTTTCTCTTTGATTACTTTCTCCAATTTCGTAAGTTGTTGGCGACAAACATCTTAGGTTATCGTTTGGTTGCTTGGAAGTAGCTCAAAATACAGAACGCTTTTGCAATCCCGCCAAACTGACAGCATGATCTCTCTGATGCAATTTAACTCTCGATATAATTTGTATTGATGCATCATCGTATAGATTTAACAATATATACATATTGTTACGAATTTTTTTGTATATATGTAAAGAATTTTAGTGAAGTTACGTTTAAAATTGAAGTAATTTGTATAATGTAACATAAAAATCGAAGGCCCACCAGCGGCCTAGCTGTTAAGTCGCTGAACACTGGTAGCCTGTATATGAGCCAGTTCCCTTTGCAAAGTCCTCCACGAAGAAATCCCTTCCCTTAGGCAGATAGCCCTAGTATGCTTTGCCGTAATCAAATAAACCAGAACATGAAAATCGGAACAAATGAAGCTCTGCCGGAGAAATAAAATCACAGGGGCAAGTCTATTTACAATGAAGTAAATGGCTATCTCGGTAAATTGGCGAAATATCGCCAAGCTGGCAACAATTTTGGCGACTAACTTTTTTCGCCAAACTTGGCGATCATTTGGCGACATTTCTGTCCAGTTCCCGTAGAACTGTTTGATATTGTAACTGTAATTGATCCCTATATGTAAATGTAACCGTATCCGACCGTTAAGTGTAAATTTAATCGTATATACCTTTCAGTAATTTCGAGAAATGGAAGAAGGTACTAGAGATTTTTCAGTCACCGGGTGAAAGCATTATTTCTCAGTTTCTCAGTTCAGAGTCGACTACGAAGTACTGAGATATCTTCGTGTGAATTTCGCTGTTTATATGCATTTCGCATTGCGTTGTGTTTAACTTTCTCAGTTGTATGAAGTGGAAATTGCTGATTATGTTTTATCATACTGAGAAGAGCTGTATGAACACTTATACAGTTCTGGAACTTCTGTGAAATGTTCCAGAACTGTAAAGTGTTCATTTTGGTAAAATGTATTGAATTAAGCTCTCATTGGTTCTATGTGCAATCAATCTATTACGAATATTTGTATAAATTTAGTCATATTGCATGTTATTGTCTGCAAGTCTTCTTCATCGCTGAGCAACAAATATTACACTGTATAACTAACCCTGCGCCATATATATCCGT